CTCTGATTGTAATTGCTTGATTTAAATTCGTTCTAACATCATCTACTACATATGTTATTTTGCTTTTTTTTTTTTGTGCAAAGCCTCCTTTATGCTAGACAATTCAGGACTACGAGATGAATATAAATTGCTATAAAAATCCCTAAATACTTGAGAAGTCTCTTGATCAGTTATCGTTAATGTCTGTGGTCTCTAAGAAAAAAACAGGCTGGATCATCCCTTCCTTACTCTTGTCTTATCAGTCACAGGCCCCGGTCACACGGGAGATTTCGGGCCGGAAGAGGGACGGATCGGGGGCACAGCAAATGGGCGCAATCAAACCGCAACTTCTGGGAAGCAGCGCACACCCGTCCCCGATCCGGCCCTTCAGGCCGAAAATGCGCAGCAAAAAAGAACCTGCTAAAGAGCAGGACTTACCTAAAACACTGTAGCAAGCGCGACTGTTGGATCGCTGGCATGGCCGTCTGCAGGAGCAATCGAGGCTCCCAGCTGAACTGCACATGTGCACACATCCGCAGCCGGCGGCCTCACGCTCCCTTCCGTGGCTTTCTCCCCGGCATCTGATTGTGCCGGGGAGCAACTGCGCGGCGGCTCATGGGATCTGTCTGATCCCCCTGCCGCGTGTTTCTTTTGGTGCAGCTTTCAAAAGCCGCACTTTGCCCGCATCAATTTCTCCCCGTGTGGCAGGGGCCTTATTATCTTTTCAAAGTACTTTTGATTAGCAAAGCTTTACTAGCTTAGTGTATGTTGATCATTTCCATGTGGTTTTTACAAACTTTAAGTTGACATTTAACACCTATACTTAGTGCCTCCTTTTGCCTTTTGTGTTAACTGCTGAATTGAATTAAATTAAATTAAATTAATATTTCTTTAATGTATGACATTTCCCCTTTTCCTATATTATACTGCCGAAATATAATACCTCTCAAGAACACTTTACTTGAGTCCCAAATAGGTTTCTAACTGACATCAAAGATATTATTAAGGGCATAAAACTCTTTAAGTTGCTTTGTTATCTGTTTACATATTTCATCTTGTTTCAGTAACATGGTATTTAATTTCCATATATGTTGAATCAGAACCCCGTTTATATCGTCTAGTTCTGGGAATCGCCTCTCTAAACGTACTATTTTATCTTCCAAATCTCTTTTAGTGTCGTCTTTACAGATATGTTCAAAAATAGAAAATTTCTGTTGCTCCAGAGCAAACTAATTTATGCAGTATCCAAATCACTTGCTCACAGCTTCAATGCCAGTAGCTCAGAAAGTAGAATTTTTGCTCACAGGGCTCCACAGCTTAGAGGGAACATTGGTAGTAACGTATATTTAATATCCTCCAAAGTAGGCATGGTATTTCTACCATCAGATTTTGAATTTTTCTTGGAATGTCTCATATTCATTAGATCAAGATGAGAAGAAATTAAGGTCTCAGTCTTAAAAATATTGCTTCTCTTTTTCCCAGTTCTATTTGGTATAATACCATATGTAGAACAGTAACACAAACAAAAGGAGGGGAAGAAGAAGAAAAGAACAGGAAAACAGAACACTAACAGGGAGGGCCCTCTGGAGGTCCCCTTCTGAAGGCCCATGAGTCAAGGCCTGGCCCTTAATGCAACGCCCTTCATGTGCCACTTACAGCGTGCATCAGTGATGTGTGCCACTAGCCAATCAGCTAGGGATGCCAGCCTCAAAGTGGGACCTGGGGATTGCCCAAAATTACCGCTCTTACCCCCCCTTCTCTAGGAGTTTCCCAAACTGGAGCTGGCAACCCTAACCCCCCTACCCCCGTACCCCACCAGTGGTCAGGGGGAGCTGGCAACTTTTATCAATAGGTCTGAAAGCATGGATTATAACCAGTTAGGTCCAGGTGGTTCCTTTCACTCTTGTTCAAGCTCTTGCATCACTTCAAGGCGAGGGGTGTTGTCAAGTGAGATGCAGTCCAAGAAGAGAGCACCGTAAACAGCTGATTTCAAACTCTTGAGGTAGTTCTCATAAGAACATAAGAGATGCCAATGTTGGATCAGGCCAAAGGCCCATCCAGTCCAACACTCTGTGTCACACAGTGGCCAGAAATACCAGGTGCCATCAGGAGGTCCACCAGTGGGGCCAGGACATTAGAAGCCCTCCCACTGTTGCGCGCCCCCCCCCAAGCACCAAGAAGACAGAGCATCACTTGCCCCAGAGCCCCTATCTATACCTTGTGGCTAATAGCCACTGATGGACCTCTGCTCCATATGCTTATCTAATTCCCTTTTGAAGCCGTCCATGCTTGTAGCCATCACCACTTCCTGTGGCAGTGAATTCCATGTGTTAATCACTCTTTGGGTGAAGAAGTACTTCCTTTTATCCGTTCTAACCCGACCGCTCAGCAATTTCATGGAGTGCCTACGAGTTCTTGTATTGTGAGGAAGGGAGAAAAGTACCTCTTTCTCTACCTGCTCTTTCCCATGCATAATCTTATAAACCTCAATCATGTCACCCCTCAGTCGTCGATTCTCCAAGCTAAAAAGCCCCAAGCGCTTTATCCTTTCCTCATAGGGAAATTCCAACCCTTTTATCATTTGAGTTGCCCTTTTCTGCACTTTTTCCAAAGCTATAATATTCTTTTTAAGGTGTGTTGACCAGAACTGCACACAATATTCCAAATGAGGTCGCACCATTGATTTATATAGGGGCATTATGATATTGGCTGATCTGTTTTCAATTCTCATCAGAATACCGGCAAAAGTAGCCAACAGCAGTGTAAGATCTCAAAATGCAGTGTGCAGATTGTACCTCAGAGTAAATAGCAACAGCAACGATTACTAGCTGGCAAGGCATCTCATGGTGAAATGGGCAGTCCAGCCTCCCCCAGTTGGCCACCCTAAAGCTTGTCATATTTTACTGAGCTTTTAGAATGATGCATTGTACATATTCATCACATCAAATGGTATAAATTTACTATGACTCTCTCCCTTCCCCACAGTATATACACACACTGGTATATTCTTAGATGTATTAATAATCTAAACGTGAACCTTTCCCTAAACATATTGGTTTCCAGCCTGGGGGAACTATTTGATCTGAGCCTACCAATGGAGGTGCAGGTCTCCTCTGTGGCATATAGGAGTTTTGGTCTGTTTGGCTGTTGTGCCAGCCTGTTTGGTCTGTTTTGGCTGTTGTGCCAGCTACACTTTGAGTTGCAATATTTGGCTATTTCACCAGTTATGAGCTCAGTTCCAGCTGATGGCCATTATAAAACACCACAGAGTCCGTGACCAGAGTATTTAAAGTAGAGGAAGTAGCTCATCTGTTAAAATCAGCACCAGCTGCTCTGATCTGTGTCCTCAGAAACAAGGCCTTTTCTGTACCGTCACCTGCATTATAGAATTTCCTCCCCTCTTGTTATACAAATAAATAATGTATTCTCCTGGCACCTTGGTTATTACTATTACTGGTGGCTTTGTTGTCAATATGGCGGGCTTTTAAACTGCTGGTTTATTTTTAATTTTAGTGCTCCGCCCCAAGTGTAGTTAGGTAATTTTTAATCTCTGGGCTCAGCCTGGGTTTTATGTGACTGTTATTATGTACCTTGACATATTTATGTCTATTTTATGTACCTATTTTACCCCCCTTTGGTATCCTCTTGGTCAAGACTTCGGTCATAAAGACCTGTAATAAATTGAAAAAAAAATTGAAAATTGAATTTTAGTGCAGCTGAATTGTTAACCACAGGTTGCTTTTTAATTATTTTTTTATTTGTAAACTACCTCTGAAATAGATTTTACATGGTTATTACTATTACTGGTGGCTTTGTTGTCAATATGGCGGGCTTTTAAACTGCTGGTTTATTTTTAATTTTAGTGCAACTGAATTGTTAGCAACCGGTTGCTTTTTAATTATTTTTTTAGTTGTAAACTACCTCTGAAATAGATTTTACAATGAGTAAAAGATACGATTTTTAAAAATATTGAACTTTACCATATCTCAAAGCCTGTGGGGTATATTTATGTATTGCACTAGGAAATACAACTTGGTTTCTACAAGCACAGACATGAGTTACTGGTTGATAATGGGAAGTGTCCTTCCCCAGTGCAAATCTTACCTTGCCCTTTTATGAGGTTACGGGTCTTGAGGTAATAAAATATATAAAACAAACATGGGTATGGGGAAAAGATGGAGAAGAGAGGATAAGGTTTTTATACCCTACTTTTTTCTACCCTGGAGAGTCTCAAAGTGGTTTACAATTGCATTCCTTCCCCCTCCCTACAAAAGGCACCTTGTGAGGTAGGTAGGGTTGAGAGAGTTCTGAGAGAACTGTGACTTGCCCAAGGTCACCCAGCGGGCTTCCTGGGGAGGAGTGGGGAATCAAACCTGGTTCTCCAGATTAGAGTCTGCCACTCTTAACAGCGACATCACACTGACACACAAGATGAAGTTTCAGCTGTTCAACAAGCATGTTAGGGTAAAATTCTAACTCTACAGTTGAAGACAGAGATGTAAATCCCATTTTTAGACTTTTTCTAACAACCGCTGTCTTGAATCAGTTGTCCACTCTCAGGGAAAGTACACTTTTTTGAGGGGGGAAACATGAGTAAGGGAGTCCCAAGGGCCTATAGGAGCCAATCTACTGAAGTGTAAGTTAGAAGAATATGCATTATGAATGATTACAAACAATGCAAGCTCTCCTTACACAAGATAGTTCCCGTTCAGTCATGAGGCAATTTAGAGATGTCATATTATTGTTGAAACACAAGGTGGTGCAATTGCACCACACAAAATGCATTTTCAGGGAATATCAGTTTCCATCTTCACATAGAAGGGAGTAAACAGCCTTCATTGCAGGCAGAGAGTTAGCCATTTCAGGAGAAAAAAGCCACGGTTCTCTGTAACCGAAAGCAAGGACAGCAAAACCCCCCCAAAAAAATTGCCTTGGAATCAAAAGACAGACAATCACTTCCAGCAACTGCTTTACCAAGAACTATTCTGTGCATTGGATGTGCCTGGAAGGAGGCTGAGACGATGGAGATGCATCCCAACAACTGGCAAGGTTGGTCCTTTTTCTTCTATCTCTGCATGTGTGGGGCAATATGTGAGTCCTTCCATTACTCAGTGCCTGAGGAAAAGAAGAGCGGGTCTCTGGTGGCAAATGTGCTAAAGGATTTGAAAGTGGATGTGAAGGAGCTCTCTGCTCGCAGGGCTCAGCTGGTTTCTGAAGGCACCAGGCAATATTTCCAGTTGGACCTTCATTCTGGGAATGTGCTATTAGATGATAGACTAGACAGAGAAGCTCTGTGTGGCCACAAGGATCCTTGCATCGTACTCTCTGAAATTGTGCTTGAAAACCCACTGCAAGTCCACAGAATTGAAGTTCAAATAGAGGATGTGAATGACAATTCCCCCAAATTCTCTAAAAAGGAATATCTTTTTCAAATACCTGAGCACACTGCAACAAATACCAAGTTCCCTATAGAGAGTGCTGAAGATTCAGACAGAGGTGAAAACGCTGTTCAGAATTACACACTTAGTCCAGATGACCATTTTCAACTGGATGTGCAAAGCCACAGTGATGGAACCAGATCTGCAGAGTTAGTATTGAAGAAGCAGTTAGACCGGGAAGAGGAAAGACGTCTTTCCCTGACTCTGTTGGCCGTTGATGGAGGAATCCCACAGAGAACAGGCACGGCACAAATTATCATTGAAGTTTTGGATTCAAATGATAATGCTCCTCATTTCGATAAAAACGTATACAGAGTTAAACTCACGGAAAACAGTCCACTAGGCTCATTTGTAACAAAAGTGGAAGCAACGGACCGAGATTTTGGTTCCAATGCAGAGATCAGTTACTCTTTCAGCCAGGTGCCAGATGATGTACAAAGAGTATTCAACTTAAACAAACATACTGGGGAACTTACTGTAGCAGAGAACGTTGATTATGAAATAAACCAAAATTATGCAGTAAACATCAAAGCCACGGACGGAGGGGGACTCTCTGCTTACTGCAAAGTCATAGTGGAGATTGAGGACAGAAATGACAATGCCCCAGAGGTGACCCTCACATCCCTCACCAGCCCCTTACCAGAAGACTCTCCCCTGGATACGGTGTTGGCCCTCTTCCGTGTCATGGATAAGGACTCTGGAGACAATGGCAGAACTGCCTGCACCACTGAACCAAACTTTCCCTTCATGTTAACAGCCTCTGTGAATAATTATTACCAGTTGGTGACCCAGCAACCCTTAGACAGAGAAAAAGTCTCAGAGTACAACATCACCATCATAGCCACGGACTGGGGCTCACCGAGGCTAACTTCAATGAGAATAATTAATATTCAGATCTCAGATGTCAATGACAACTCTCCAGTATTTGAAAAGTCATTTTATAATATGCAGTTAGGGGAAAATAATATTCCAGGTCTGATGATTGGCTTGATCCAAGCCAAGGATCTGGACACGGAGCAGAATGCCAAAGTGACCTATTCTGTTTTGCCTGGGAAGGTCATTGATCAACCTGTGTCCTCTTATGTCTCCATCAACTCTGAAACTGGGAATCTCTATGCTATCCAATCTCTGGACTATGAGCAGGTGAAAGATTTCCAAGTGATTGTGAGGGCTGTGGACAATGGGTCTCCACCCCTGAGTTCCCAAGTTATTGTCCAACTTCTTATTATAGATGAAAATGATAATGCCCCATTTATCCTGTATCCTCTTCAGAATGGCACCTCCCCATCCAATGACCTGGTTCCGAGGGGGGCAGAGGCTGGCTACCTGGTCACCAAGGTGGTGGCAGTGGACAGAGATTCCGGTCAGAACTCGTGGCTTTCCTATGCGCTCCTGAAGGCCACAGAACCGGGTCTGTTCAGTGTGGGGGGCCAGAATGGAGAAGTGAAAACCATGAGGCCCATTAACAAACGAGACACTTTCAAACAGAAACTTATCATTGGAGTCAGAGATAATGGGCATCCTCCCCAGTCCACCTCTGCAACACTAAGTATTCTGCTAGTGGATGGCTTTTCTGACCCTTATATGAAAATGGTGGATATCCCAAAGGATGAAGTGGTGGAGGGGGAAGACCGTACCCTGACGATGTATCTGGTTATATGCTTGGCTGCCATCTCCTTCATTTTTCTGGTTTCTGTGTTGGTGTTTGTTGCCATCAAGATTCAGAAAAGGAGGAAGTTCGTAGAGAGCTCCGCCCTGAATTTCCCAGTGGGACCGAATTTCCCTGAGAACTGTGGAGATGCTGATGCTGGGTCACTCTCCCGGGCTTACAACTATGAGGTGTGCTTAGCTGGAGGGTCTCTGAACAGCGAGTTCAGGTTTCTCAGGCCTCTCTTTCCTGTGTTTTCTGTGGAGCCTGCTCAGTCCCAGGGGGCTCCAAGGAGTTCAGCAGTTTCCCAAGATCTTCCCAGTCATGAAGCAGAAAGTCGGCTTGGGAGTCAGGTGAGAATGTACCTTGCATTCTATCTAATGGTTAAACATTTTCCAATGGAATTTTATAATATTTGAATCTGTAACTAAATTTTCTTAGCCACTATCTAGTTGGTTTTCCAGTGGGAATTCAGCACAGCTGTTCTGAAAACGTTTTCAATGAGAGTATTAAAAACTATTTTTCTAGGAGGGAAAATAATAATTATATTGTTGACGTATTTCATCTAGTGCAGTTTTACAAAATAATAGGCTTATCCTCCTAACTGTATCCGGCTCTGAGCTGCATTTATTTTTTCATAAAAATAAAAAGTGGGGGAATTGGAGAACGTATTTGTGGGAACCCAGAGTTTTGCTTTGAAGCTACTATCACAAGAAGTAGATTGAATGAAAAAAGATGGAGGGTTGGTTAAAGAGTGGAACTCATTTATTCTTATAGAACCCAATCCATTCCCCTTCAGCAAAGGTGGCCGCTCAACAAATATCTCAAGTTTTCAGTTCTGAGTGGAGATAATTGAGCTTGGGAAAGGCTGGTAACATTGATGATATCTTCAGAAAAGACATATTTTTTTTCCTTTTACTCTGGCATGATGTGCATCTTAATTTCCTATTCGGTGCCTGAAGATAGGAAAAGTGGATCTCTGGTTAACGTGCTGAAGATTGATAATTGGGACTAGAATTCTGCTTGCAGAGCCCAGCTTGTTTCAACAAGCTCAGTGGAGTATTTCTATATCGATAACTCCTTTTGTAATGGAGAAAATTGCCTGAGAATCTTTGTTTACTAGTCTCAGATTAATGTTTTGGACAATAACTTCTTTTAGCTTGCACTATTTGAGTATGAAGTGAGGTCAAGGGGAAACAGCCCTCAAGCATTCTGATCAGAAGCCAGAGATCGGGATTTTGGTTTAAATGTGGCAATCAGCTATTAGTTCCAGGGTGCTCTTGAGAAAATAAAAGGACAATCCTTAACTCAGTCTTCAATCAGTTTTGGATGGTAGTTAAGCCCACAGTTATAACTCAGAATAATATCTGCAGAGCTACTTGCACTACTTTCACTGCAGAGCTCTTCCCAGTCACACCTGCGTGCTCCTTCTAGGGGAGAGTACTGTTTGATCCCTGTCTCAATGTTTTCAACTTATGGGGAGCGGTGGCCTGACATCAGTGTGTGTGTGTGTGTGTAGCTGCATGCACTGGTCGGCTACTTTTTAAACTTTAAATTGAGTAAAGGAGTCAAGCAAGGATGTATCCTAGCTCCGTTGCTATTAGCTTGCATCTCAATGGTTTAAGTTCTCATATTTCTGGACATGAATTTCACCCACCTTGCCTGGCTCATGTTAAATTACCCCGTCTCTTATATGTAGACGATACTGCTCTTCTGTCAAGAACTGTGGTTGGCCTACGTAAGCTTATAGGTTCCTTTTCAGAGTATTGTTCCAGTGAGGGCTTAGCTGTTAATGTTACTAAGTCAAAAGTTCTTCTTTTCAGTAAAAAACAAAAACAAAGCATAAAGAAGTATGACGGGTCAGTAGCAGATCAGCCCATTGAGCAAGTGGAACATTTTGAATATCTAAGAGTTAATTTTCAAGCAAGCCTTTCATAGAAGGCGCACTTGAACTCTCTTGTAAGAGCTGCTATAAATACTGGGAAGGCCATCTCAAGATTTTATTACTCTTCTGGTGGTCAATATGTTCCTGTGGCAGTTAAAGCTGTACACTTGGTGGAAAAGGACAACCATCTCAGATAGGAGTGTACTGTTCTTCAGTCAAAGGTGTACAATAGCTACGCTCCCCTGCTAGAACCTCCAAAAAAGCTCAAGGTATTTAATGCTAAAGTCACCAGGCAGATGCTATATGCTGCCAGGGTTTGGATCAGAGCAGTAACAGACAACATCGAGAGACCAATGTTAAGATTCCTATATAATATTTTGAGAATGGGGGGGATAGCTCTGAGAGCCGAAGTTGGGGAGATGTACTTTGAAGCAAAGGCCTGGGGCAGAGCATTCAATCTGAAAATCAGGATCCTAAAAGCAAATCCAGACATCTTTCCCTGAGTACCAGTTCCTTGTATATTTGGTCCAGAACTGGTCTGTATTGCCAAACCTTCTGTACATATATTAAACATGCTGTGTCCTGATATACCAGGAGCTATACCAATTTTGTCCTTGCAGTCAGTACACTATGAATTAAATCTATTTAATTTCTAAACCACTGATAAAATTCAAATTTTAGCATAATCGCTCTTAAGGAATTCTACTCAATCCTATCAAATGCTTTCTCAGTGTCTGTAAAGCAGAATTTTTCAGTACAAATGGAAAAAGTCTTCTGATGGACTCAAAGTTAGGCTCAGCAGACCAAGCTATTTTTTTAACAAAAAAGAAAATAGCTCTTTTTTCCTGAAACCAATTCCAAATTTATCAATTACACATGTTGAGACTTATTTAGACATTCTGTATGTGTTTATTTTTCCCTAAATAAAATGTGGAGAGGGCGAGAGGGCTGGGAGCATCTAAGCCATGTGTTGACAAATTATCTTTGGCTCTAGGAGCCAGTCCAAATATTTAAGAGCCAGACTCTTATTTCCGCTTTTAGGGTTTCGTATTCTAATGACCGTATTTATGCATTATTGTTACAACAAATCCTAATTCTAGCCTCTACATGGTTTCTCATAATATTATTAAAATTTATTAAAAGTGTTGTAGTGTCTAAATAAATATAGACATAACCCTGGCTGTCATCATGACAATGAAAACTGAACCTTTAATCCTACCCAAACCTATCTCCAATTTCTCATAATTTCATTATTTGCTTTATAAAGCTCCATTTAATTGGAAACTGGAGCCAGTACAGAAAGCAAGTGGTTAAGGAACAGATTCATCAACCACCATTGAGTAGTATAAAGGTAAGTTTTCATATAAACAAGAAGTGGCAAAGACTTTATACACATTTATTTTTATATTATTCAATCAAACATTTAGATGCAAAATTATAAGTTTGAGATGGAGCCAGCCAACTTAGCTTTTTGGTGGTAAAAGGTGAACCCTTCATTCCTTATTCACAAGTAGAAAAACTGGTTGGATGTAATAGTCAGAAGCCCATTTCATGTTTTATATTAGTTCCAGAGTACCAAAATCTGGAGGAGTTCCAGTCCAGGTTTTACTTATTGCTCTGGGTAAGCGAGTCTAGGTAAGCTGCTGTGAAGAAATTTGTTAGGCCATGTGTTCCTTTCTTTCATTTGTTTACGAAAACATTCTAGCTGAATGATTGCAGTATCCTTCAGGATCCACCCCTTTATACTGAGAGATGCAACAATAAAATCACTGTTGAAAACACTAGGTGGCACAGTGAAATTTCTAGGTGCCATGGTGAACTGAGCCTGAAATTGGCAAGCTCTCATCTAGCCATTGGGACAAGTGTTCACATTTTACAGGATACCCGGGCACTTGGGGGCTGTTCTTGGGGAACAGTTGGGAAACAGATAGAGGCATAGATGGTTCTGGGAAACAGGTAGGGATGGAGGCAGGCAGAGTGGACATTTTGTATTGGAAGTGGTAACAAAGATGCTACCATAGGTTTATACTGGGAAACGGTTGACAGGTATATGATGTGATTTAGTTTGGAAGGGTGCGAGATACCCAAGGGTGGGTGCTGTTGTGGGAAGTGGATATTGTGTTGCTGCAGATGTGTACATAGAGGGAAAAGGGTAGGAGATGAGTGATGCTCACAAGCAAGGTTTGAGGACAAGGGATGCAGTAAATTCTGTATTTATATATGTTTTCTCTTTGGGTGGGGACAACATACGATTCAGAACCTGGAGAAGTTTATATATAACTCTGTAGGGGTTTATTCTCACAAGACACTCTTCTGCCTCTCTTTTTTAAATGACAACAGCTCATCCATTTTTCATATGATTTCTCTGAAATTTGAAATTCCCAACCTCATAACCTAAGGGAATTTCCATCTGGAATTTCAATTGCAGGACAAATCATCTCAGTTTTTATATGGAACTGATTTTGAGGTTTTAACAAAGAATACAAGATAATTACAGAGATGTCCTTGTGGCTCTGTGATTTAAAAAAGTCATCAGGTTAAGGCGGAACAGTAAAGCATTGGGGAACTGGAGAGAAGTTCAACAAATGAGCTGAAATGAGCAATAAAACTGGATCCTGAACGGACTTTCATTCCAGGGTTTGTTGCCGCTTTCCACAGGCAGTGGTAGGGACGGTGGCTTCCAGAAGACAGAAGATAGGGACCCTTTAAATGCTTTGGATGAGAAGCAGAGGCTGCATGCCTGCACTCCAAGCCATGAATCCGCAGCTTGGAGGGCAGGTGCGTGCGGGGCCTCCCCCCGTTTTTCTCCCAAAGTCGTGGGGCCTTGGGAGGAAGTTGGGAGGCTGGGCCCCCCAGGAGGCCCCACTGTAGCTATGGGCTTGCTCTCCTCATACTCTATTCGCATTCACACACTGCCTGACAAAAACATCTAGACCACTGGAGATCTATGCATACCTCCCAAGCTCTATAAATTCCAGCCTGGTGTTTCTGTTCCAGAGTTCCAAAATCTGAAACTGGTGAAACTGGTGTGGTATAGTTATTAGTGTTGCCTCCAGAGCAGTTTGTTAACTTCAGCAGAGTCCTACAATGAAGCAGGATGAGGGAAAGGTAAAAGCTCACCTACCATGAATGGGAAAAGACTTGCCATAGTCACTTCAACAGAGGGAGGCCCAGGACATAGTAACAATCCAAGAGTGATTGAGATTCCTATAAATGTAACCATGACATTGGGGTCCATTACTTGATGTTGGGTAGCCACCAAAACCATCATTTGCATTCAGTTGGTAAGTCCTTCTGGAATCAACCATCTATAGCTAATTTGATGGTTTTGCAAGAGCTAGGTTAATCCTTTGTATGCCTTCCGCTTCATCCGAATTTCAAATGGGACGTCTTCAATAAAGGTAAAGGTTCCCTTGCTCAAAAGCCAGTCGAATCCAACTCTAGGGTTGCGGTGCTCATCTCCATTTCAAAGCCGAAGAGCCAGCGCTGTCCAAAGACGTTTCCATGGTCATGTGGCCGGCATGACTAAACACCAAGGCGCACGGAACGCTGTTACCTTCCCACTGAAGTGGTACCTATTTATCTACTTGCAATTTCTTGCTTTCGAATTGCTAGGTTGACAGGAGTTATATTTTCAATACTTGGGCCCAATTTTATTTACCTCATTTGGATCATGTTGTTTTTGTTCTACAGCAATCTTGTTTATTATTATTATTTCATCAGTTGGGGCTCTCTGCCATACTTGGTTTTCATTTCCGTTGGTTTAAATGAGAAACTGGTGTGGTATAGTTATTAGTGTTGGACTACGATTTAGGAGACCTAGGTTGGAATCCCCATTCTGCTGTGGAGGTATTTTGGGGTGACCTTGGGACAGTCACATTCCCAGCCTAATCTACCTCACAGGTTTGTTGTGAGGATAAAATCAAGGGGAAGAGAGGAGAATCATATAAGCAGTTTTGGGGACCTATTCGGGAGAAAGGTAAGGATGAAGTAAGTAAACAAATACCTTTAACATTTTTTTCTCTCGCCGGCCTTTCTAAATATGGATGAAATTCTGCTTTCCTTCACAAGTTTCAGACAAAGAGAGGAAATTATTCCTATTTTGTAGGTAGTTAAATTGCTGTCTTGCAGGGAAGCCATATGATAGTTTCCCCTGAATTCTGAAGGTTTTTTTGGGGTTCTCTTTCTAGAAAAATGGAGAGCACATTTGAGGGGAACTAACCTCTTTCTCTCTTGCGCATTGTTTTAGTGTACTTTGGTGCTATTTTTCTCCCAGCCAGGCTTTTAATACCAAAAGTGACCAGGCTGGGGGGGAAAACTTCAAGTACTGGAGTAAGGCTCAAGTGAAGCCTCGCTTAGCTCCCATCATTTGTCTTCTTGGTTTTTGCTTAAAAATAGAATGCCCATTTCTTTACACAAACACCTATTCCTCGTTTGCCTCAAACTGCCTTATACTAAATCAGTTCATCAAGTCCAGTATTGTTTTCCCAGACAGGTAGTGGTTGTCCAGCATCTCAGGGTTTTTACACATCACCTACTGCCTGGTCCTTTTAGCTGGAGATCCCCAGGACCTTCTGCAGGCAAAGCAGAGGCTCTTCCACTGAGCCAAAGCCCCTCCCCTAATTCTACTTCTAAAGCATAAATGAAACCATTTCAAAGCCAATCAGATGGTGCAGTGATTGAGGTAAAGTGGAAATGCTGTGTACATCTATTGAGATGTTGCTCTTCAATGGAAGTATCCATTAACTTTTGATGTGGGAAAATGCCCCTGCTGATTAAACCTCACCTCAGAACTGACCCTACTGCTTCTGTACATGAAAGGTAGACAACCATTTCTAAAGAATGTCAGAAATGATTGCAAGTTGTTAATGTTTAGTTATCAGATTTGGTCTATTAACAATATTAAAGCATTTTTTGTTGCTCAGTCGCACAGTCGAGTCCGACTCTTTGCGCCCCCATGGACCAGATCACACCAGGCCTTCCGGTCTTCTGGCGTCCTCTGAAGTTTGCTCAATTTCATGTTCGTTGCATCTATGACACTGTCTAACCATCTCATCCTTTGCCGTCCCCGTCTTCTTTGACCTTCAGTCTTTCCCAGCATCATTCTCCAGTGAGTGCTCCCTTCTCATTTGGTGGCCAAAGTATTTGAGCTTCAGTTTCATTATCTGGCCTTCCAGGGAACAGTCAGGGTTGATTTTCTTTTAGGATTGACTGATTTGATCTTCTTTAATGAATTTATGAATGTATATGTGCCACATAAATGAATGAAATGAAAACATAGCAAAAACCCTGAATGGACAAAATAAAACAAAGATTACACATTCCAGTCCTATGTGTCTCAGCACTGCTTCCTCTGTACTGCCATGTTACAAAGAGGACATAGCCATTCCTAATCCTGTGCCCTGTCTGAAGTTTCTTTTCTTAGTATAAATAATTTACTTAGGTTTTTAGGATTAAGACTCTCTGTGTGTATGTGTGTAAATCTATATCTATATATCCCTACATGCGCAATAGACTATGATGCAGCATCTGGGCATTATATATATGTATTTATATATAAATACATATTCTATTTTTACTTCTAAGGCATGGATTGCATAAGGCATTTTGAAATAAAGCCATTGCAACCTCTTATTCCAGAGGAATATTCTGTGCTAATCAATGAAGGGAGAATAATTTGGAAAATGTGCAGCTGCTATATTTTTCTTCAAGCACATGGTGGTGCTGTTGGACAGCAAAGCAAATATTGTTGAAGACTATAAACGCTCTTTGCAAAAGCTGTGGCCATTAGACAAAGCAGTATCAAGGAAATAGGCAGCAGCTCTGCATTGCAAAATAACAGTCAGAAATGATAGGAGGCGAAAGCTGCAGAATCAATCTCCAACAATAAGAAGAGCAAAGAAAGGGAACCAGGTGCTTTACAAAGAACCCCCTTGTGTTTTACTTCTGCCTTGGGGAAAAGCTGCAAGAATGCAAAGGAGCCACCTTAACAGGCAAGTCTGGTCTTTTTCTCTGTATTTATGCCTTGCTGTTGTGGTGTGTGAGACTTTCCACTATTCAGTGCCTGAGGAAAAGAAAAGTGGGTCTCTGGTGACAAATGTGCTAAAGGATTTGAAAGTAGATGTAAAGGAGCTGTCTGCTCGCAGGGCCCGGCTGGTTTCTGAAGGCACCAGGCAATATTTCCAGCTGGATCCACACTCTGGGAATCTGATATTACAACACAGAATAGACCGAGAAGCTTCTTGTGGTCAGAAAGACCCTTGCATCTTGGTTTCAGAGATTGTGCTGGAAAATCCATTGCAAGTCCATAGAACTGAAGTTCAAATAGAGGATGTGAATGACAATTCCCCCCACTTCTCTAAAAAGGAATTCCTTCTCGAAATTCCTGAACAAACTCCGTTGAATACCCAGTTCCCATTGGAGAGTGCTAAAGATACAGACAGAGGAGAAAATGCTGTTCAGAACTATACACTTAGTCCTAATGACCATTTTAGGTTGGATGTTCAAAGTCACAGTGATGGTCGCAAAAGTGCAGAATTAGTACTGGAGAAACAATTAGACCGTGAAGAGACTGCACGGCTTTTCCTGATTCTGTCGGCTATTGATGGAGGGACCCCAAAGAGAACAGGGACAGCAACAATTGTAATTGATGTTCTGGATACCAATGATAATGCCCCTCAGTTTCATCAATCTCTTTACAAAGTGAAGCTAATGGAAAACAGCCAGTCAAGTACACTTGTAGCTAAAGTTAATGCAACGGACAGGGATTCTGGTTCCTATGCGGACATCACTTATTTTTTCGGTCAAGTGCCAGAAAACGTGCTCAGATCTTTTAAGTTGAATAAACATACTGGGGAACTTACTGTTGCTGGAGCCATTGATTATGAAGAGGAGAGAAGTTATGAGATAAAAATCAAAGCCACAGATGGAGGGGGGCTCTCTGCTTACTGCAAAGTCATTGTGGAGGTTGAGGACATGAATGACAATGCCCCAGAGGTGACCCTCACATCCCTCACTAGTCCCTTATCAGAAGATTCTCCCTTAGACACAGTGGTGGCCCTTTTCCGTGTCACAGATCAAGACACTGGAGACAATGGCAGAACTGCCTGCACC